CTAGCAGGAGCCCACCGAGATGGCCGAAGTTGCCTCGAAGCTGGCCCAAGACGGCGGCCCAAGAGGCCTCCAAGATGGCATCCAGGAAGTCTAGAAAAGGCCAAAAACATATATTTAATCGCTTCGCTCATTCCGCCGGCCCTGGAGCCCTCTTTAGGGCCTCTTGGGGGCCTCTTGGGGACCTCTTGGGAATCTCTTGGGGCTCCTTGGCGGCGTCTTGGGGGCCCCCAGGGCCTCTTGGGGGGGTCTTGGGGCGGAAGGGGGGGTAGTCGATTGCGGCTCCCCCCTTGGAGGCCACGATCCCCGTGAGGGGTGTCGAAAAATGGCCCACCCCTGAAATGCTCTGGGGGGACCTGACCGGGACCTGGCCGGGGTACTTTTCGTCCGGAGGCACCCAGGGGCCGCTCCGCGCGCGCGAACTAGAAATATTGTTAACCAGGTTTTCCGTTGGGCCGGCGAATTTTCCATAGGTTCTTGAAGGATTGTGGCATTTGCTTGTTGTCGGCCTTCCGACGGCCCGAGACGGCCCAAATGCCCCCAAAGATCGCCCAAAGATCACCCGGGAGGCCTGCAAGATGGCACCAGAACGGCCCAAGAGGCCCCCAAGACGGCCCGAGAGGCCCCCAGGACGGCCCAGAAGGCTTTGAAGACGCCCAAGATGGCCGCCAAGACGGCCCTGGAGCATTCCAAGAGGGCCCCAAGTCGGCTCAGAGAGGCCACCCAAACGGCTGCCGACGGCGTCGGACGGGCCAGGGGCTCACCAAGACGGCCGAAGATGACACTAAGATGGCCCAAGACAGCCCAAGAGGCCTCAAAGAGGGCCTCCAGGAAGGCCGAAAAGGCCAAAATCATTGATTTCCCGTGAGTTTTTGAAGGATTGTGGCATTTGCTTTTTGTCGGCCTTCCGACGGCCCGAGACGGCCCAAGTGCCCCCAAAGATCGGCCAAGAGGCCCAAGACGGCCCCAAGAGGCCCCCAAGACGGCCTCCAGAAAGGCCCGAAAAGGCCAAAATCATTGATTTGTATTTTTGTTTGGCCTTCCGACAGCCCGAGACGGCCCAAGTGCCCCCAAAAATAACCCGAAAGGCCCAAGACGGCCCCAAGAGGCCCCCAAGACGGCCCAAGAGGCCCCCAAGACGCTCAAGATGGCCTCCAGGACGGCCCAAAAGCCCTTCAAGACGGTCAAAATAGCCTCCAGGCGGCCAAGATGACCTTCAAGATGCCCACGTGTTCCCCGAAGGCTTTGCAAACCGATTCGGGGAACACGTGGTCCGATAGCTTGGCATGTCTCGCCTCAACGTTCGGCCACATAGGCGCTTCCAAAAAGGCAGGGGGCGGCGGTGATTCGCCGTAGGCGTCTTCGATCCGCCGCCCCCTGTCGACTCATCGCAGGGGTGCCTGGCGTGCTGGACCCTTTCGGTTTTGGTTTTTGTTTTTTTGTTCAAAAGAACTCCCCCTGGGCCTCCGGCGCGTCCCGCCGGCCACCTGGAAAGGATCTCAATCACAGATGTTCCTCCAAGACGGCTCAAAATGGCCTCCAAGATGGCCACGTTGGCCCAAGATGCCCTCCAAGATAGTTCAAGATGGCCTCCAAGTCCGCCCAAGAGAGGAGGAGATGCCTCCAAGTCCGCCCAAGAAACCTCCAAGACGGCCCAAGAGGTGCCCAAGAGGCCTCCAAGACAGCCCAAGAGGCCTCCGAGAGGTCCTCCAGGAGGGCCCGAAGAGGCTAAAAACATTGGTTTGCCGTCGGTGTTTCAAGGTTTTTCGTATTTGCTCCTTTTCGGCTTTCCGACGACCCAAGGACGGCCCAAGAGGCCACCAAGATCGCCCCCAGAGCGTCCAAGAGGCCTCCAAGTTGGCCTCAAGACTGCCCAAGAGGCCCCCCAAGACGGCCGCCAAGACGACCCAAGAAGCTTCCAAAACGCCCAAGACGCCCAAGATGGCCTTCGAGACGGCCCTGGAGCATTCCAGAAGGGCCCCAAGTCGGCCCAGAGAGGCCCTCCAAACAGCTTCCGACGGCGTCAGACGGACCAGGAGCCCACCAAGACGGCTGAAGATGGCCCTAAGGTGGCCCAAGACGGCCCAAGAGGTTTCCAAGAGGGCCTCCAGAAAGGCCCGAAGAGGCCAAAATCAGCGATTTCCTATGAGTTTTTGAAGGATTATGGCATTTGCTTTTTGTCGGCCTTCCGACGGCCCGAGACGGCCCAAGTGCCCCCAAAGATCGCCCAAGCGGCCCAAGACGGCCCCAAGAGGCCCCGAAAACGGCCCAAGAGGCCTCCAAGACGCCCAAGACTCCTCCTCCTCCTCATCTCCTCCTTCTCCTCCTTACGTTCCTCCTCATTCTTCCTCCTTCTTCTCCTCCTCCTGATCTTCTCCGCCATCTTCCCAGAAATGTTCCCCCGAGGGTTTCCACAACGGTTGGGGGAACACATGGTCCGACAGCTTGGCAGAGCTCTTGCCACAACGCTCGGACACAGTAGCGCTTTCAAACCTCTTGCTCCCCCACGCGTTCCCCGAAGGCTCTCCAAACCGACTTGGGGAACAGCTGGCCCGCCAGCTTGGCCAGGCTCTAGCCCAGCTGTCAGCCACACAGGCACTTCCACAAGGGCAGGGGTCGGCAGTGATTCGCCGTAGGCGTCTTCGATCCGCCGCCCCGTCGATTCATCGCAAGAATGCCTGGCGTGCTGAACCCTCTCGGTTTTGGTGTTGGTTCTTTTTCCAAAAGAACTCCCCCTAGGGCGTCGGCCCGTCCCGCCGGCCTTCCGGAAAGATTGCCCAGACCCGGTTTCAAAGGGTTTTTCCTGCTCCAGACGGCTCCAATGCCTTCAACAGGAGCCCAGATGCACTCAAGACACCCTAAGACGCCTCCAAGACGGCCCAAAACTGCCCAAGAGGTGTCCAAGAGGCCTCCAAGAAGGCCCAAGAGGCCTCCGAGAGGTCCTCCAGGAGGGCCCGAAGAGGCTAAAAATATAATTTCCCTTAGGTTTTTGAAAGATTTGGGAATTCGCTCTTTTTCGGCCTTCCGACGACCCAAGACGGCCCAAGAGGCCACCAAGATCGCCCCCAGAGCGCCCAAGAGGCCTCCAAGTTCGCCTCAGGACGGCCCAAGAGGCCCCCAAGACGGCCCCAAGAGGGCACAAAGACGACCCAAGAGGCTTCCAAAACGCCCAAAGAAGCCTCCAAGACTGCCCTGAAGCACCCCAAGAAGACTCTAAGTCGGCCCAGAGCGGCCCCCAAGACGGCTTCCGACTGCGTCAGACGGGCCACGAGCCCACCAAGACGGCCCAAGATGGCTCTGAGATGGCATGAGAGGCCTCTAAGAGAGCCCCCAGGAAGGCCCGAAGAGGCCAATATCATTAATGTTTAATGTTCCTGTGGTGTTGACGCATTTTGGCGCTTGCTTCTTTTCGGCCTTCCGACGGCCCGGGACGGCCCAAGAGCCCCCAAAGATCGCCCAAGAGGCCTCCAAGATGGCCCCTGAACGTCCCAAGAGGGCCCCAAGACGGCCCCAAGAGACCCCCAAGACGGCACAGGATGCCTTTAAGACGCCCAAGACAGGTTCCAAGACGGCCCAGAGAGGCCCCAAAAATTGTTTCCGACGGCGTCAGACGGGCCAGGAGCCCACCAAGACGGCCGCCGATGGCCCTAAGATGGCCCAAGACGGCCCAAGAGGCCCCCAAGAGAGCCCACAGGAAAGCCTAAAGAGGCCAAACTCATTGCGTTTCCCATGAGTGTTTGAATGACTGCGGCATTTGCGTGGTTTCTGCCTTCCGACGGCCCGACACGGCCCAAGAGTTGAATTTGCTTATTTTCGGCTCTCCGACATCCCAAGGCGGCCCCATAGGCCCCCAAGATCGCCCCAAGGTGGCCCCAAAGGCCACCAAGATGACCTCATGACGGCCCATGGCGCCTCCAAGACGGCCCCAAGAGGCCTCCAAGTTCCCCAAAGATGGTCCAAGATGGTCAAAGGCGGCCCAAGATGGCCTCTAAGACGGCCCATGAACGCCCTCAGACGGCCAAAGAGGCCCCGAACAAGCCCCCGAAGGCCCCCAAGAGGCCGAAGGAGACCCCCAAGGGGTCTCCAAGAGGCTCCCAGGAAGCTCCCAGAAGACCCCAAGAGTGCCCCAAGAGGCTCCCAAGAGGTCTACTCATCCTCCTTATTTTCCTCCTTCTCCTTTTCCTCCATCTCCTCCATCTCCTCCATCTCCTCCTCCTCCTCCTCCTCCTCCTCCTCCTCCTCCTCCTCCTCCTCCTCCCTCCCCCCTTTTCCCTTCTTCTCATTATTCTCCTCTTCCTCACATGTTCCCCGAAGGGTTTCAACGATGGCTGTGGGAACATATGGTCTGATAGCTTGGCCAAGCTCTAGCCCAACTTTCGGCCACAGAGGCGCTTCCAAAAAGGCAGGGACCAGCTGTGATTCGCCGTAGGCGTCCTCGACATATATATATATATATATATATATATATATATATATATATATATGTGTGTGTGTGTGTGTGCGTATGCAAACATCAGTGTATGTATATATGTGTGTACGTATATGCTGTTTGTATGTGTACACATATGTAGATGTATATATATAGGTGTGTGTGTGTTGGTGATAAACCCTCGATAGCGAGACTGCGCGCTCCTGGGCGGGTTGGGAAGCCCAAGCCCCGATTGGTGATGAATGAGCTTATGGGCCGGCCACACGCAACTGCAATCCTAAGCACGACCGTTCTTTGGTGCGCGGCTTTCCAGGTGCGCGCGGGGGCCAAACCCAAGCGCGCAGCACTCAACGACTGGGGGACCCCAGTCGCCCCGCAACAAGGATCACTCCGGCGAGCGGTCCCTCCTACGAGTGTCCGAGTGGGGGTCGACGCACGCCCCCTTGGATTGGCGGCGCGCAGACGGGGGGGAGGGGGAGGGGGGGATGCTCCTCAGAAGGAGGCAGCTTCTGAGAAGCCTCCTGCCCTCCCCCTGCCCCCGTACGCTCGCGGCCGAGGGGGGGTCGCTGCGCTCCCCCGGCTGCGAGACCACCCCCCCGGTGCTGCCCCCGAAGGCCTCGCCCGAGAGGGTGCGGCACGCGGAGTGGTGGCCGCCGGCGGCGGCCTCCGCGAAGCGCAGGCGCGTGGGCACGGGGAGGGTGTCCTCCGAGAGGCTGCCATTCACCAGCTGCCCGTCGTTGGTGGGGCGCTGCCAGGGTCAGGCCGGGCATGTCGCCCAACGGGAGGGTTTTGGGCGAAACATTCAAAACATATGCAACATATATTCAAAACATGCGGAAATTATCCCAGTGCGTCCATACCTAGGAGTTGGAGCACCTAGGAAAGCAACATCTACATCTACACCGACAGCTACATTAACATCTTACACCTGCATCTACACCTACATCAACATCAACAGCGAGACTAACATGTACATCTACATATACACCTACATCTACACCTACATGCTATGCTATGCTATGCTATGCTGCGCTGCGCTATGCTATGCCATGCTATGCTGCGATATGCTATGATATGCTAGGCTATATTATGATATGAGTTGATAAACTATGCTATGCTATGCTATGATGTGCTATGATGTGCTATGATATGCTATGCTATGCTGTGCTATGCCACGCTATGCTATGCTATGATGCGCTATGCTATAACATGTTATTTTATGATATGCTATGATATGCTGCGCTGTGCTATGCTAAGCTAAGCTATGACATGATATGCTACTATGTTATATGATGTCATATGCTATGATGCGCTATGCTATGCTATGTTATGTTATGATATGCTATGCTATGATATGCTGCGCTATGCTATGCTGCGCTGTGCTGTGCTATGCTGTGCTATGATATGATATGCTATGCTATGCGAATGCTGCGCTGCGCTGCGCTAAACTGAGCTAAGCTAAGCTAAGCTAAGCTAGGCTAGGCTAGGCTAAGCTAAGCTAAGCTAAGCTAAGCTAGGCTAGGCTAAGTTAAGCTGAGCTCAGCTAAGCTAAGCTAGGCTAAGCTAAGATGAGATAAGCAACGCTAAACTAAGGGCACATCAATGGTAGAACCGCGGGGCGGATGCCGGGGGAACCGCCCGGGGCGAGCCCCACTGCCCGGCCCTTTAAATTTAGCGAGTAAGAACCCTTCTAGGCAGAGTCTAGGTAGGGAACAAATAATCGGAAACTCGTCCCCAGACTTTCACCCCACATCCTGAGTGGGTTTCTTGCTTTCCTAAACCACCCTCTCCTTCTCCGTCTCCTTCTCCTCCTTCGTCGCTTCCCTCACCTGTACCATACCAGATCGGCCATACCCTACCAAGACCATACGTACTATAATATTACGTACTATACTATACCATACCATACCCTACCATACCGTACGTACCGTAGTATACCATACCTGCCATACCATAGCAATGAGATTACCTGCCATCCCCTACCAAACCATACGTAAAATAATATACCATACCTGCCATGCCATACCTAGCTTATTCGCAAAGCATACTACGTATCAGGTGTCGTGCCCCTCCCACCCCTCCATGGAGGCCCCGCCAGAGAGAGGAGGGTATCCCAAAAAGCTTACTATGTACAAGGCTTCGTGCCCCTCCCACACCTCTTGGGAGGCCCCGCCTGAGCGAGGAGGGTATCCCAAAACCATACTAGTTATAAGGTTCGGTGCCTCTCCCACCCCTCCAGGGAGGCCCCGCCCGAGCGAGGAGGGCATCTCCAAACCATACTATTGTTAAGGCTCGGTGCCCCTCCCACCCCTCCAGGGAGGCCCCGCTTGAGCAAGGAGGGCATCCCCAAACCTGACTATTTACAAGGTTTCGTGCCCCTCCCACCCGTCCAGGGAGGCCCGGGCCTGCGCGAGGAGGGTATCCCAAAACTATATCATTTACATAGTTCGTGCCCCTCCCACCCCTCCATGGATGCCCCGCCTGAGCGAGGAGGGTATCCCAAAAACCTTACTATGTACAAGGCTTCGTGTCCCTCCCACCCATCTTGGGAGGCCCCGCCTGGGCGAAGAGGATATCCCCAAACCTCACTATTTATAAGGTTCGGTGCTCCTCCCATCCCTCCAGGGAGGCCCCGCCCGAGCGAGGAGGGCATCCCCTACCCATACTATTTACAAGGTTTCGTGCCCCAACGACGAGGCTGTGTTAGCTGACGAGAAGGTCGACTCCGACGTGATCAGCTACAGACCCGCGGACGACACATGCGTGAAGTCTTGGATGGCGGCAGTGGCGGAATCGAAGCACGAGCCCAATGCCATCAGTTACAACGACGGGGTTGCGTCGCGTGACACAAAGGTCGAGCCCGACGTCATCAGCTACAGACCCGATGACGGTGCATGCGAGAAGTCTTGGATGGTGGCAGTGGCGGAGACGAAGCACCAGCCAAATGCCATCGACTACAACGACGGTGCATGCGAGAAGACTTGGACGGCGGCAGTGGTGGAGACGAAGCACGAGTCCAATGCCATCAGCTACAACGACGAGGCTGTGTCGCGTGACAGGAAGGTCGAGCCCGACGGCATTAGATACAGACCCGAGGACGGTGGCAGGCGAGGAAGTCTTGGATGGCGGCAATGGCGGAGACGAAGCACCAGCCCAATGCCGTCAGCTACAACGACGGTGCATGCGAGAAGACTTGGACGGCGGCAGTGGCGGAGCCGAAGTACGAGTCCAATGCCATCAGCTACAACGACGAGGCTGTGTCGCGTGACGGAAAGGTCGAGCCCGACGTCATTAGCTACAGACCAGAGGACGTTGCATGCGAGAAGTTTTGGATGGCGGCAGTGGCAGTGACGAAGCACCAGCCCAATGCCATCAACTACAACGACAAGACTGTGTCGCATGACGGGAAGGTCGAGCACCGCGGGGATCGTTCAACCTTGCACGAACGGCCGTTTCCGAAACGTCCAAATCGTTCCACATCGGACGATTCTGGGTCGCCCGCGGCGTTCAACCTCGAACGCCGGCGGCGGGGTCGCCGCCGGTCGGCACGACGCGAACCTGCCGCAGACAGGGCCCGTGCCTTCTAAGAAGCAGGGGTGCTTCTAAGCTTAAGTCGGGCGTGCCCCTCTATAGGAGGAATATTCAAAAATAGTCAAAAATAGTCAGTCGAGTATTCTTTGACCATGCTTGAATATTTTTTTACTATCTTTCATTTTCCCTGCAGAGTCCACCTGTAGGAGGATAGGCCCGACTTAATTCTAAGCCTTCCCCCCTCCCCCTGCCGACCTCTGCGCGCGGCGGAGCCTGGGGCGCCCCTGGCCCAGGATGCCCCGATGGTGGAACGACACTCGAGTACGGGATCGTCTACAGAGTTGATTTGCCCCAAAATTGATTTTCTCGTCGAGGCATGCGTAGAACGCTTATAGATCCACGAACATTCCACGCAGGTCTCATGGATTCGACGAGAAAATCAATGTTGGGGTAAACCAATTCTGTAGTCGATCCCCCACTCGAGACTGGGGGGACTGGCTCAGGGGGGTGGGAACATCAACCTGGAATCCGCGATGCATCGCCGATAAAACGGCGATAGGCCGCCGATGGCGAATCCGCACGCTCGTGGTGGGGCGGGGCTACCAGGACCCTATCGGCGATGACTGGGCGAGTGGGGGGCAATGCATCCCCCCCGAGCCTAACCGCGATATGTCTTTCATACCCCTCCAATAATGGGACATGGATCTGTTCGCCGTCTTTATGAGGGATCGGGACCCAAACAACACAAGGACAATCATTATGCCCCCGCGGCGGCCACCGCTGATTATCGGGGGGGGAGACGAGGATCCCTGATGATGGTGATAATGATGAGGGGAAGTGCGAGAAGAGGAGGGACGAGTTGAGCTTCCATCCGAGAGCTTGGGAGGGAGGGCAGCATTGAAGACCTTCTGCAGTTATCCCCCCCCCCAGCGTTGTCCCTCGGGGTGTCCCCGGTCCAGGGTGCCCCCAAGGGTGGAGGAACGAACAGCGGCAGAAACCAAAGCTTTGGAAGGCCCGCGAGGGTTTTTTGGATCGGCGCTGGCCCCCTGGCTGCAATTCAGGCGCCGTACCTGACGGGCTCAGCGCGCCTGGGAGGGGGGCCCAGCACCGACCCAAGATATCAGCGCGGACCTCTGGAAATTCTTTCTTTCATTGCGTCTTGTTCTTTAGAGCCTCTCTGTCGAGGCCGGAGCAGATGGGTTCGGAGGATCGCGCCGCATCGCCGATGCATCGGGCATCGGCGATTCGGCGCGATTCTCCGACCCCACCTGCCCCAGACCCACCGGAGAGGTCTGGACAAGGTGCCCCCCGGGGTTTGTGGGCGAGGGCCTCCAGAGCACCCCTCGCGAGGCCCAGAGGGCCCAAAGGGCTCCAGAGTGGCGCAGGAAGCCGGGAGCACTTCGATGCTTGCGGACCACCTCTGGCAGCGCCCGAGCTGGGCGACTGGCGCCCGCATCCGTAGGCGAGGCACCGGCCGCCGTTCAGCTTGACCAGGTTGTGGTAGTAGCCGGCGAAGACCGCCGACGAGGGCCCCGGCAGCGGAACCCTGCGCGCGTAGGCGGAGGGGCGGGAGGCGGCGGAGGGGTCGTCGTGGTCGAAGCCCAGGCCGCAGGCGCCGAGCTGGAACACCGCCAGCGTCTCAGGGTCGCGCACCTGTTGGGGCTGCGTCGCGAGGTGCCCGTCGGCCTGGCTCTCCTGGCCTCTCCCGCTCTACCACCTCCGGTTCCTCTTCCCCCGTTCCCTGCAGTCCTCGTCGTCCTTCTCCTGCGATTCCCCCGTCTCCTCCTCCTTCTGTTGCTGCTCCTGCTCCTCTCCGCCGCCTCACCCTGCCCTTTGATCTCCTCTTCCTACCCCTCCGCCTTCCTACCCCTCGCTCTCTTCCTCGCCATTCTCCTCCCGCTGTCCTTCTCCTCGTCATCCTCATCTTCACACTTCCCACATAATTATCCGACCGTCTGATTTTCTCATCGCGCGGCCCCAGACAGAGGTCCCAACCCCTTCCCTGGGACTGTGTGTTCGCCCTGGACTCATTTTTGATAATCCCTGGGCCCGAGAGCGGGACTGAGAGGCATGGCGAAAACACACGATTGAAGATCCTCCTCGTTTTGCAGTCGGCAAACTCCACAGCGCATCCTGCAGCGCTCTTGTGCGAAAAAAGGCACGAATAGTCTTACGTCACCGTGGCCACACATGGAGGTCGCAGGCCGGTGCGGAAGAAACTCAGGCGGCGAGACTCAAGGAGCAGCCAGACTGCCACCCAGGGTCGAGGAACCGGCCGTGCGATCGAGAGCGGAAGAGGAGGGGGGAGCCGCCTGGGCCAACCCTCGAGACGTGATCCCAGACGTGTGGAGATCCTCCGCCCACTCCTTCTGCTCCTCGCCCCGCTCTGCTCCTCCGAGGGGGGGAGGAGGGGGCGGGGGGCAGGCGGGCCCGCGCGCTGTGGGCCCCCCCCCGTCGCCAGCGTGTGCTCGCCGCCGCAGAAGACCCGCGAGGCGCCCCGGGCGCAGCTGGCGCAGTGCGGCGCCTCCTCCAGGGGAGCAGCCATGGAGGGGAAGGAGCCGGTGACCGTGACCAGCGGGAGGCACAGAGACACACACTAAAGACATATCTGTTCTCCTCGGAGGCGCGCGTCCGACCAGGACATCTGGTGTGCCCGTCTTGTGGCAGATCGTCTCCCGAGCGGTGTGGCCAGAAAGCGCCCGCCACAGAGCATATACTAGAAGATTTCTCGGTGCGCGCGTCGCCCCTGGGGGGGGCGACGCACACATAGTTTCAGTATGCTGTAGCGACGCCGAACTAAGACTGAAATGCGGACAATATCTAAACCCATATCCAATGCGTCTTAAACTTTCTCGGAAGGGGTACCGCGAGGCCGAGGCGTACTGGACGCGGATAAGGATCGAGCCTCGCGGGGCCAATCTGTTATCCACATCCAGCGCGCCTCGGGTTCTTGGGGCAGGGAGCCCGAAGCATCGTCCTCGTTTCTTCCCTCGACAGAAGCCGCATGAACACAAGCTTTCGACAAGGTCCGCGAGGAGTTGTTGGACCGGCGCCGGGCCCCCCTCAGTGGCGCGCGGAGCGCGCCAAGGTGCTCGGAGGGCATAAACAACATCAACGCCGCGCCGGTCGACGAAAGACGACGCGAGCGTCATTGATACTCCTTACCTCCTCCAAGGAGCGGCGCCGAAGGCGCAGACAAGGAGGGCTCAACGCCGATCCAAGAACTCCGTGCGGACATTCGAATATTTATGCTCATCTTGGGGAAATCGAAAGGTACCGATACCACTACCCTCTGGACCTCTCTCAGGGTGCGCTCTGACCAGAATTCCGAGGCGAATCCAGCGGTGGAGACGGAGGCCTCCCAGGAGGCCCAACAAGGCGAAAACGACGAGGCGAAAACAAGGCGAAAACGAAAACAAGAAAACGAGGAAGGAAAAGGGTACCTTTTCCTCCTTTGTTTATCGAGGTCGTCGAACGTCGTGCACGGCACCCCGCAATTGGCGGTGTTGCGGAAGGTTCGCGTCGTGCCGACCCCGGCGTTGGTTCCTGCCACCGCGGGGAGCCTTCAGACTTACACGATCGGCCCTTCCACAAAGGCCGGATCGTTCAAGGATGGGCCGACTCTGGGCCACAGGCGGCGTTCAGGCTTCAACGCCTGCGCTGGGGTCGCCGCTGGTCGACACGACGCGAACTGCTGCCGTACCTTCGCGCCCCAACGAGATTGATGGGACTGTTTTCCACCACCACCACCATAGGTTGGAGGGAGGAAGGAAGACTGACTGACTGACTGACTATGAATCGGACCCAACGTGCCGTCACGACTTGCATGCTACTCTACTGCTGGAGCGTGCACCTGTCTACTGACTTCTGGGTCTATCTGGAGCTGGGCCCCTCACTCGCGCCAGAGGGGCGCGGCGGGGGGGGGGGGAAGGAGGAGGAAGAGGAGGAGGAGGACTCCCTCCCCCTCCAATTTATGGTGGTGGTGGTGGTGGTGGTGGTGGAGAACAGGTCCCTCAGAGGCCACCTCGGAGAGAGGCCGCAGTCCGGCCCAGGCCGCCAGGTGCGCAGCTCGATTGCCTGCGCGCGCGCCCCCCCGGGTGTGAGCTTCTGCCGTGGCTCGCCCGAGGTGGGGCACGCAGAAGCTTCGAGCTGGAGTTATGTCGGGCGTGTCCCCCTGCAGGGAGATTTTCGACGAAAAATAAAAATTCCCCCAAAATACCCCAAAAAGGTAACACAAATACTCAAAACATAGTCCCCAGACTATTTTTGGATTTTGGGGGTATTTTGTGTTTTTCCCCACATCCTGAGTGGGGTTCTTGTTTTCCCAAAACATCCTCTCCTCCTCCTCCTCCTCCTCCTCCCCCTTCCTCCACCATCCCATACTGTATCATATCATACCAATACCATGCCACTCCATACCATACCTTACCATACCATACCATGCATCCACCATCCCATACCATACCATGCCTTTCCTCACACCATGTTATTTATCAGGTTTCGTGCCCCTCCCACCCCTCCAGGGAGGCCCCGCCTGAGCGAGCAGGGTATTCGCACACCATGTTATTTATCAGGTTTCGCGCCCCTCCCACCCCTCCAGGGAGGCCCCGCCTGAGCGAGCAGGGTATTCGCACACCATGTTATTTATCAGGTTTCGTGCCCCTCCCACCCCTCCAGGGAGGCCCCGCCTGAGCGAGGAGGGTATCGGAATACCATACTATTTACAGGTTTCGTGCCCCTCCCACCCCTCCAGGGAGGCCCCGCCTGAGCGAGCAGGGTATTCGCACACCATGTTATTTATCAGGTTTCGTGCCCCTCCCACCCCTCCAGGGAGCGAGGGGTATCGCACACCATGTATTTCAGGTTCGTGCCCCTCCCACCCCTCCAGGGAGGCCCCGCCTGAGCGAGCAGGGTATTCGCACACCATGTTATTTATCAGGTTTCGTGCCCCTCCCACCCCTCCAGGGAGGCCCCGCCTGAGCGAGCAGGGTATTCGCACACCATGTTATTTATCAGGTTTCGTGCCCCTCCCACCCCTCCAGGGAGGACCCGCCTGAGCGGGAGGGTATTCGCACACCATGTTATTTATCAGGTTTCGTGCCCCTCCCACCCCTCCAGGGGGCCCCGCCCCAGGGTATCCGCACACCATGTTATTTATCAGGTTTCGTGCCCCTCCCACCCCTCCAGGGGGCCCCGCCTGAGCGAGCAGGGTATTCGCACACCATGTTATTTATCAGGTTTCGTGCCCCTCCCACCCTCCAGGGAGGCCCCGCCTGAGCGAGCAGGGTATTCGCACACCATGTTATTTATCAGGTTTCGTGCCCCTCCCACCCCTCCAGGGAGGCCCCGCCTGAGCGAGCAGGGTATTCGCACACCATGATATTTATCAGGTTTCGTGCCCCTCCCACCCTCCAGGGAGGCCCCGCCTGAGCGAGCAGGGTATTCGCACACCATGCTATTTATCAGGTTTCGTGCCCCTCCCACCCCTCCAGAGAGGCCCCACCAGAGCGGGAAGGGTATTCGCACACCATGTTATGTATCATGTATCCTGCCCATCCCACCCCTCCAGGGAGGCCCCGCCTGAGCGAGCAGGGTATTCGCACACCATGATATTTATCAGGTTTTGTGCCTCTCCCACCCCTCCAGGGAGGCCCAGCCTGAGCAAGCAAGGTATTCGCACACCATGTTATTTATCAGGTTTCGTGCCCCTCCGACCCCTCCAGGGGGGCCCCGCCTGAGCGAGCAGGGCATTCGCACACCATGTTATTTATCAGGCTTCGCGCTCCTCCCACCTCTCCAGGGAGGCCCCGCCTGAGCGAGCAGGGTATTCGCACACCATGTTGTTTATCAGGTTTCGTGCCCCTCCACCCCTCCAGGGAGTCCCCACCAGAGCGGGCAGGGCATTCGCACACCATGTTATTTATGTGGTTTCGTGCCCCTCCCACCCCTCCAGGGAGGCCCCACCAGAGCGGGCAGGGTATTCGCACACCATATTATTTATCAGGTTTCGTGCCCCTCCACCCCTCCAGGGAGGCCCCACCAGAGCGGGCAGGGTATCCGCACACCATGTTATTTATCAGGTTTCGCGCCCCTCCCAACATTCCAGGGAGGCCCCGCCAGAGCGGGCAGGGTATTCGCACACCATATGATTTATCAGGTTTCATGCCCCTCCCACCCCTCCAGGGAGGCCCCACCAGAGCGGGCAGGGCATTCGCACACCATATATTTATCAGGTTTCGTGCCCCTCCCGCCACTCCAGGGAGGCCCCGCCAGAGCGGGCAGGGTATTCGCACGCCATATTTTATTATTAGGTTTCGTGCCGTTCCCGCCCCTCCAGGGAGGCCCCACCAGAGCGGGCAGGGTATTCGCACACCATGTTATTTATCAGGTGTCGTGCCCCTCCCACCCCTCCAGGGAGGCCCCACCAGAGCGGGCAGGGTATCCGTACACCATATTATTTATCATCATACCTACCGGTGTGATCTCGCACTGCTTTATTTCGACCGACCGTGCGCTCTGCTGGTGGTCCTGCTGGTGGTCGTGCTGGTGGTCCTGCTGGTGGTTGTGCTGGTGGAGGTGCTGGTGGTTGTGCTGGTGGTCGTGCTGGTGGTTGTGCTGGTGGTCGTGCTTGTGGAGGTGCTGGTGGCCGTGCTGGTGGCTGGTCGTGCTGGTGGTCGTGCTGGTGGTTGTGGTCGTCGTGCTGGTGGATGTGCTGGTGGTCGTGCTGGTCGCTGGTAGTGGTTGTGCTGGTGGTTGTGCTGGTGGTCGTGCTGCTGGTTGTGCTGGTTGTCGTGCTGGTGGTTGGTGGTGCTGGCTGGTCGTGCTGGTGGTCGCGCTGGTGGTCCTGCTGGCGGTCGTGCTGGTGGTCCTGCTCGTGCTGGTTAGTTCGACCGACCGTGCGCTCTGCTGGTGGTCCTGCTGGTGGTCGTGCTGGTGGTCCTGCTGGTGGTTGTGCTGGTGGAGGTGCTGGTGGTCGTGCTGGTGGTCGTGCTCGTGGTTGTGCTGGTGGTCGTGCTTGTGGAGGTGCTGGTGGCCGTGCTGGTGGCTGATCGTGCTCGTGGTCGTGCTGGTGGTTGTGCTGGTCGTCGTGCTGGTGGTTCTGCTGGCGGTTGTGCTGGTGGTCGTGCTGGTAGTGGCTGTGCTGGTGGTTGTGCTGGTGGTCGTGCTGCTAGTTGTGCTGGTTGTCGTGCTGGTGGTTGGTGGTGCTGGCTGGTCGTGCTGGTGGTCGTGCTGGTAGTGGCTGTGCTGGTGGTTGTGCTGGTGGTCGTGCTGCTAGTTGTGCTGGCTGTCGTGCTGGTGGTTGGTGGTGCTGGCTGGTCGTGCTGGTGGTCGTGGTTGGTGGAGGTGCTGGTGGTCGTGCTGGTGGTCGTGCTGCTGGCCCGGTGCTGTTGGCTGGGCCTGCTGCTCTCCCTTGTGCTGGTGGTTGTGTTGCTTGTCGTGCTGGTGGTCGTGCTGGTGTTGTGCTGGTGGCTGGTCGTGCTGATGGAGGTGCTGGTGCTCGTGCTGGTGGTCGTGCTGGTGGTCGTGCTC